GGAATCGTAGTGTGTAAACTATAATTCAAATTCTAAACTCTATAACATATCCATTTTGCACACTAGCCGCCTAAAGAAACTAGGTCAAGTTTTTGCCAGAAAACTAAATAACTTCGTAATTGCGGAGCAGGTCAGTAATATGAGAGATATTGATAACTGTTATTTTGGGAGGAGCCCAACTTTTATCAATAGTTGTTGTAGCCTTAAGATTGGGTGACGACTCAATGACATGATATGACATAAAAATAATTGCGACATATACAATCACAAATAACATTTTTATGATTAGATTAATGACTTATAAATATACTTATAATTACACATTAATGGATGAAAACATATTTTATACAACAGTTATGATTCCCAGCAATATATGTTTTTTTTTACATGTTTTATACAATTACAACATGTTGTGATATGTGTTATGGATATGCATATGAGATATATATATGCATGCACCTTATTTACTTTCCGTACATAAAATTTTATTGTAAACTTGATTATTTTGTTGAGCTTATTGTAACTCATGCTATGTTGTTGACTTTTAGAAAGGGTTAAGAAGCACCAAGACGAGTAACCAGGTGTGACATGTATAGTTTTTACATTTCATAATTTTGAGAGTTTTACAGACTTTTGGGTACGTACTTTTAAAATATTGAATTTAGTAACTCCATTCAGATATAAGTGTTTTGGTGAGAGTTTTCGTGCTTCTAAGGATATGTGAATATAAATGATTTATGAAATGAAATACTTCAAGTATGTATTGACCAAAGAAAAATATGTTGAAATTTTTATACCTATTTTACACTAATTTTGATGATACTGCACTTTAAAGAAAAATTATTTTGATGTTTTGTTGCAGGTATGATGAATTATGATCAATGACGCAAAAAGAAACAAAAACGATGCAATTTGAAGCAAAAATAAGCAAGAAATGAAATTTTTTTCTATCACCTTTCGATAAGTCTTTCGATGCTTAATCTCTTTTACACTTCTTGCATATTTTTGAATGAGATTACACTTTAAAGGAATTAAAGGAATATGAGATTACACTTTAAAGGAATGTTGTTTTCATGCTTATTTTGTAGGACTATCTGTTAGGAACACAACGCAACTGAAATGGGGCGAAACAGAGCTAAAAGGGAGCCAAACGGAGCGAAACTGTGACGCTGCGCAGTCTCCTCGCCGACGACGCTCAAAACGGCGCCGACGACGAGATTTACCCGAGAAGACCGAAAAATGACAGAAAAGCTCGCTGACGGCGCCTGAGACAACTATGGACTTACTTTTGGCGGTTATTGGCCAAAATTCAACGTATTTTGACGCTTTTTAAAAAGGTTCTTGTGGCAACTCTTCAAACTTCATCCCTACACTTTAAAAGAACGAATTTATGTTAGAAAAATGGGTTATGTGTGAGAGGAATGTTAGGAAAAGTGTGGAGAAAGTGAATGTGGTTCACTCAACTCCCATAAACTTAAACATCTCCGCTTCAGTACTCAAACAATAGGACCGAATTGGGGATTTTAGTCTGTCACCCAAAATCTTTGATGGGCGTAGAATTGGAGATTTTGGGGTGACAGACTAAAATCCCCAATTCGGTCCTATTGTTTGAGTACTGAAGCGGAGATGTTAGCCCTCAGGTGAAGGGAACGTGGAAGTTCCGAAGTGAGAGCCGGTATCCTCCCAGCTTAGCCACGAATTCAGTAAACAATCAAAGGATTAGTCAATGTTCTTTATATCTGGACCAAAGGGTAAAGAACAGGATTGCTCTTATTTGGCACATGCAATATTTAATGCATCTCATTCATTTACATTATCTAATTCATTAGATAAGAATAGTAGTTTTAAATATCTCACCGAGAGGGCTGTGTAATTCTCAACAAAGTAGAACCACATTCAGATTCCATGGATGGTTAAGTTCATGGGAGTTGAATGCAAATAAATAGAGAAATATAATTTGATGGGCGTAGAATTGAAGATTTTAGGGTGACAGACTAAAATCCCCAATTTGGTCCCGTTGTTTGAGTACTGAAGCGGAGATATTAGCCCTTAAGCGAGGGGAACGTGGGAGCTCCGAAGTGAGAGCCGGTATCCTCTCAGCCTAGCCACGGAATCAATAAACAAGAATAGGATTTGTTAATGTTCTTTATGCCTGGACCAAAGGGTAAAGAATAGGATTGCTTCTATTTGACACATATAATATTTAATGCATCTCATTCCTTTACATTATCCAATTCATTACATAAGAATAATAGTTTTTATTATCTCAAAATTCTCCAAATCAATTCATTCAAAAAGGGTTATCTTTAGAATTAATAATTGCATTTAGTTATATTTACTATCTTTACATTTAACACTTGCATTTAGAAGTAGTTGCTAGATAAAACATCATTTTAATCGACATTCCAAACTAAGGACTAATAGTAGTAGATTAAAATTTGACTAAGGACCTCTTACCTCACTTCCCTGTGGGATAGATAAACGGGACTCTACTAGAGCCCTATATTACTTGAGCGATACGTATACTTGCGTTTGAAATTGTGACTTTACAAAATCATTATAAATATATAAATTTGGGTTCATAATTTCTTGCATATTAAAAGTTGCATCAAATTTTTGGCGTCATTGTCGAGGGTTTAAATCTTTTAATAATGGTGTCAAATTCTTGTATTTTTAGGTATATAAAAAGTTGTTGTCATGTATGTAAGGATTTAGTTAGACTAATTCATCACACATTAAGTTCTAATTTTGCAAGTCAGAATGAGTGCTAATGAAAATTTAATCTGGTCAAATCCTCTGCCTCTATTGCAATGTGGGTGACCTTAAAGGGGGGTGAAATTTTGATCGCTTAAAGAAAAATAAGATCTTTAATTTTTTAATTAGCTTTTATTTATGGAAAAATCATACTTTTTGTTACCAGTGGCACATAAATATGATTAGTGTTATAATTAACTAAAATTAACTAAGAAAAATGGAGTCACGATGATCCACAATAGATTTTGAGAATTCATGAAGGAAAATAATATTTGAAACAAAAATCTCAGTCACTTTGATTGTAATAAATCCTACGGGTAAATGTGAGAAATGCAATCCGCTACAACAAAAATAAAAATTTTATAGCTTTAATTTGCTAGACTGATCAAAACACTGAAAATCTATTCCAATGTTGCATTTAAAGCATTCAGCGGTTGTGATCATCTTGCCGATTGTTTGTATTCCAATTTTGCATCTTGGCAGCAAGTTCTGTCAAACAATTTAATTTCTTTCATTTTGTACCCTAAAATATGAATGCAATGAAATCGTTCATTATAATTATAACAAAGTCATTTTTCAGACAATTCATCATTTTAAAAGTTATTATTATTTTTTTAATAGAAGCGAAGGCTTATTAACAAGTGTTAGAAAGAATTGCATGTTGGTGTGAAGTAGATATATGCAGGAGATGATTTAGGTGAATTTTGAAAGAATTTTTAAAAAATTTTCACAATCTAACCTTGCATTAGTTTAGTAAGATTTTTGGTTTGTATTAAGAAAGTTGGTTGAAATACTCAAATTTTTTATGAATGTCAGAATGTAAATCTGATTAAGATAACTTTGGATGAAAGATTCAAAAGTATTAACTTGATTAGACACATGTTCGAATTGATTAAAATGATCATCAACTGAAAATATTTGGGTTGTATTCATACTTTGTATTGTAAATCATAATAATGTCAAGAACTAAATAGATTAAAAACGCATCAATAAATTCTTACTAAAAAGATGATTGATTTATTTTCAAGCCAATGAAATCAAGAGAGGCCGGGGCCACATTTAAACGATGATATCGATAAACATTATGATTCAGAGACATTATAAAAAATAAATTATTTTATAAATCAAATCCCAAATGTTAGTACTGCTAAAACGGGGTAGGATAATTCAATTGCTTTTAAAAGATGATTGTTACATTTAAAAAAAAAAAAGCAGGAAAGAAAGTTGCTTGTGGCGGGAGAACTGCTGCACATAAGTTATTCAAAGTTTTGTATTCAAGACGACACTATGCAGTAGAAGACTCCGAGAAATATTATCCATTTTTTACTTGATTAAGACATTTTTTGTTTCACAGTAGTGTGATTGAAGATTAATGAGCCCTTTTAGAAACTCAAAACTTGTTAGCTTTCTGCTTGCATCAAGCTTATTATATTTTTAATAACCAGTTTTTGGTTTGCCTGCCTTAAATTTTGTTTTTGCCAGTTGAAATCAAAAAGTTTTTTTTTTTTTTAACATAATATATGTTTGCTTGTCTTTGTCGCCTCAGCATATTCTAAAAGAGTCTAAAATAAGTATCAGACAGTGTGCTCCAGTGCATAGCATACTTGTTGGAAACAAATTTAAAATCCCAAAGTGCTGATTTCGAGTGCCCATCCTAGCAGAAAAAGAAAAACTTTTGGTCTTCGCATTGATGTTTTCATTGAAGATTCATGGCTAGAAGTTGTTCTAGTCGCAAGAAAGCCTAATTATAGTAAAATGATTTTCTTTCCAAACATAATTGATGACGTTTTGGTTCTTGAGTCTAAGATTTGTCTGATACAAAAATTGAATTTATTATCTTATTAATGTCTAAGGAACTTCCTTCGAATCATTAAAAATTCCTGCTAAAATATATTATCTTATTAAAACTAAATGAAATGTGGCTGAATTTGAATGGTATAGAAAGTTTATTGTCATCTAGATAGAGAATATATATGTAATCGACTTCGTGATTGAAATAATTGCTTTTTAATTTTTATGTTGGAATTTCTTAGGATTAAAAGTAATTATGACAGTTTTAAACAAGGAGCTCTGATCCGACCTCAATCCATTTTCAAAAAAGTAACATACATATTTTCATGAAAGTTTAGATGTGAGATATGTAAATACACAAGAATTGCGCGTCACGTATGTAAATTTACCTTTTTTCTATATAATTTATGGTTACATTGCTGTATTCTAACATTATTTCTACTTTTATTTTACAGATATTTTGTTTTGCTATTGAATCTTGTACATCTTGGTTTATTGGTATGGCGGAGGAAAGCTACAGTGGTAGGATATGGCCTTTGCCACCCCGGCAGGACCTGAAAGTGTCTGAAATAACTTTTGGTCTGTGCGTTGATGTTTTCATCAATGATTCTTGGCGGGACGGTGTTTTGGTTGCTGAAAAGCCTGATTATGGTAAAATATTGGTTTTCTTTCCAGACTCAAATGATGAAGTTTTGGCTCTCACCTCTCAGATTCATCCGAGCCAAGAGTGGAACGAACTTTCCGGGCGTTGGACACGTCGAGGCATCTGGTTCTTCGTTCAAATCATTAAAAAATTCCTGCCAAAAGAAATTGTCATGTCAGAAATCAAGAGCATGTGGTTTCATCTGAAAGATACAGATAATTTTTGTAAAGAAATTAAGAATTGGTATTCTGGACCGAAGCTCATGTGGACAGTGTTGGTATTTGATATGATCCAAGAGAGTTTTCCGCTTATTTTTGCTAGCCATACTTGCAAAAACTTTTGCACAACCTCAAAACAGCTGCGGGAAGTTAAAAATGTCTATAGAAGAAGAATGATACACAGAGAGCCGCACATTTTGGATTCAGGAGAAAAATTTACAGAAATGATGGAGGCGGATGGAGGTCGGGAAGATGAAAAGTTTGAAAATAATGAGGGGGATAATAAAAGCGTGTTATCAAGTTATTCTGACAATAGGTTTTTGCTTGAAGACAAGGAGGATGAGAAAAACATAGTATCGAGGGCATGGAAACCTGTGGAACTTGAAGGTGAATACTGTCATGATTTATCAGAGTGGTGTTTTTCTCATGCAGAATTCAAAATGGATTTGATGAAAAAAATAAAACTGAGGAAGCATCTTGTATCTATTGGTTGGAGAATTGAATCTAATGAAAGAGATATAGTAAGATTTCGATATATATCACCTGAAAGAAGAATCTATTACTCTCTTAAATTGGTTTTCCAAAATTTGCTGAAGGAGATGTCAAAGATGAGCGGTAAAATCAGAGATAAGGACAACTCAAAGGACATCGACTTGGATAATCTTTTATCAGAGTTCTCTCCTGCAAAATCAGATTTTGTCTCTCTAAACAATGATCAGATAATGCATCCCTTTCAACCTAGGCCTTTTGCAACCCAGAAAACTGCAGAACTTCCTTGTACTGAATCAGATTCTTCTGTGTTAATGGATTGTAAAGTTATACAGTCAAACTCTTCAGAAATTATTGAAGAAAATGCGCTTGTTGCAACTTTAAAATCAGACAAAGCTGTAAAATATGAGGATAATAATGAATTTTGTGTTATAAAAGCTTACGTTGAGCACATGAAAATGTTAAAAGGCAAGGCAAAGCTTTCATCTGTTGATGTAAAAGAATTGAGATCCAGAACTCGAGATTTTCTCTTGGAAAAGGGTTGGAAATTTTGGCTATACGACAAGAAAGTGAGACAGGAATTACGCTACACCTCTCCCAATAGGAAGACCTATTTATCTCTTTATACCGCCTGTGTGGGATTCCTGAGAGAAGTAAATCATGAAAACATCAGGAAAATGGAGTATCAGAAATCTCATGTTTTGCAAAAAGAAGGATTGGAGCGTGGACCATTCTCTTCCCCCACTTTGTTTGATTTTGATGGATTTGATTCGAAGGAGCATATGGGCAGAAAGAGGGACCTAAAGAAGAGAAAAAAGGAGTATTCAAATGTTCATGTGGCATTGGATAAACATTTGAAAATTCAGTTAAATGGAAACTATTTCAGTGACCAAAATATTTCTGTAAAGATGAAGCAAAAGCCTTTGTCTTCCTCTAAATTATTTGATTTTGGTGAACTTAATTCTAAAAAGCATTTAGGTGGAAACAGAGAACGAAAGAGGAGAAAAATAGTGCATTCAAATAATCTTGTGACATTGGATGACCAGCTGCAATATAATTATTATGACCAGCAGCATGATGTGAAGATAGATGTTTTCCGATCTTCTAAAAGTTATAAATCATCTCGCAAAAAATTCACATCACGTGTTTTGCGTTCAGGGAAAAGATCACGATGGGCTATAGTTTTATCTTCTAATGATCAAGTTGCTAAGACAATTCTGTCATGGTTGATTGATAAAGATGTTGTGTTGCTGAGGCAGAAAGTTTCATTTGTTAGAAAAATTGATGGTCACACAATGAAAGAAGGTTGGATAACTCACGAAGGGATTAAATGCAGGTGTTGCCTGAATGTGTTTTCTCTTTCTCAATTTGGCGCTCATGCCGGAAGCATAACTTCTCAACCATCTGTCAGTATCATGTTGCAAGATGGCAGGTCTTTGTTGGATTGTCAAAAGCAAGTTTTAAGTGCATTTAAACCGAGAAAATTTCAACATACAAGATTAAAAAGAGATTATTCCAATCTTGAAGCCGATGAAATATGCACTGTTTGTCAAGACGGTGGTATGATATTGTTATGTGATCTTTGCCCATCCGTATTTCATCTAGCTTGTATTGGCCTAGAGGTATCCCATTTCACTATTTTTTTTACTAATTATCATGGGTCTATAGCGAGCATTTTTGCCAAGATAAAGGAAACATAAGCAATATCCTTTTCCCAAATATATTTTTTTATTAATTTGCAGTGAATTTTCAAAACAAAGTTAATACTTTTTAGAATTTAATATTTAGCTAATTATTTTGGTTGATTATTTGCATAATTTCATCCTTTAAAATTCTAAACAAGTTCATTTTCTTAATTTTTAATTTTATTAAATTAAAAGTGGCGTTTTTTAAATCACCCCGCTAATAAAATTTCCTTTTGAAAAATTTCTCATACATATATTGGGATGAATCCTGTTATATTTCTTCTAACATAGGTTGTCTTGATACAGGATGTGCCTGAAGGTCAGTGGTTTTGCCCATCATGTAGATGCGGCTTATGTGGTTTTAGCGAATTTAATTGCGACACAGATAGTTTCACTCATAATTCAGGGATTTATTGTGATCAATGTGAACGGCAATGTAAATATTTCTTTTGTTTCAATTCCTTTCTTATTCTTGGTTTCTAGTGGTATATTTGAACTATTTTAAATTCTTTTTTGACTAGATCATGTTGGCTGCTTGCAAAAACAAGGTTTGCAACTAAATGAGTGTCCAACAGGGACTTGGACTTGCAGTGAATCATGTTCAAAGGTACTTCGAATGGAATGAAAAGTTGACATGTTAATTTCAATAATAGAACATAATTGATTTACCTATTGCTGGAGATCAAATTAGATGTTTTTTTTTTTATTTGGAACAGATTGTTTTTTTTTTTTTTGAGATATTAATTAGATATTTGATTGGTTGTTTACTTGAATTTAAGGTTGTTTGGAATGGAAGATTAACATACATACAACTCAATTCCTAAGCAGTTACATATTTAAATGATTTGAACCATACCACCCCACCCCACCCCAATATGTTAAAGCACTTCGCTATTTTGTTCTTGGATTGCCCTTATCTCACTATCTTTCTTAACTTAATCTTAAATGAATGATTATGAAGTACGTGAAGGTTTTCAGTCACCAGTCTTTCTTCAAAACTAAAATAATGGTGAAGAACTAAGTAATTTGTACTTAAACTGTTATGCGATTTTATTCAAACTTAAAAAATAATGAGTGGCTAACCATTACAAATATATGAGTATATGGCTATAACTATTGGACGGTTGCTCTATAGATGGCATAGTTTGAATATGTTGTTTCTTTATTGTTGTGTTCCCATAGACTCACATTCCTATACTTTTTTTCTCCTTAAGATAATGAAATTATTTTTAAATTCTGTGCTATTTTAATTTCATCTTGCAGATTATTTCTAGGCTTCGATTACTTCTTGGGAAGTCAAATCCCATCCAGGGAAATGGACTTCACTGGACTATTTTGAGATCAAATATAGAAGACGTTGGAAAACTTGATGACGAATCGATAGTTGAGAATTCAGGATTGCTCCATCTTGCTCTTGATGTTTTACATGAATGTTTTGAGACTATGGTTGAGACACGTACTCAGAGTGACGTTGCTTCTGATGTCATTTTCAATAACACGTAAGAATTCTTTCATTTATTTTTCCTACATTAACAGGAAAATTTAGAAGCCATTTATGATCACTTTTATTGTTTGTTTTTAATTTGTTATTATTATTTCGTTTTGTTTATGGTTTGATTCAAAATAATACATGTTTGATTGAGCTAGTTTTTTAAAAACATTTAAAATTTCTTTTAGGTGTTTTGAGTATTTTAAGAACAAGTTGATTTATTAAAAAAATAATAAAAATATATTAAAATAATACCAATCAAACATATTTAAAAAAAAAGGAAAAGTAAAAAGTAAAAACAGTAAACAAAAATGATGCCAAAGGGGCCCTCAATATTTAGAATTTGCATGATTGATAGAAGATAATACTTCTATTCTTGTTGTCGTTTATTTCATAGTTTATTTTTTTCTTCATCGCATGGGCAACTTTTGCAAGGAATGCTTGCATAGACAATAAGCAATCACAACTACTGATTTTTCAAATTCTCTGCCAATGATTATGATGTTTCTGATATGTTGTGGTTGTTAGAAATTAGACTTAATGATAGCCATTCTCTTATGTGAGATTCCGTGTTCAATGTAAACTTAATGTCAAATGGTAGTATATACATATATTGGCATACAAAGTCATTTAATTAAGAATAAGATTCTTGGGAAAAGGTGCATCAAATTCCTCGATGCTTTAAATACTTATAAGGGAATTCATAATGTTGAGGCAAGTCTAATGATATATTGAATTCCTCCAAAAGAGTATTTTAGTTTTTTTAGTTCAAATTTGTGTTAGTCTTATTTTATTTCTTCGAATTTTCCTCAGATGATATAAAAAATATAATTGATGATCAACAAAAACTTATTACAACCTTCCTTTCCTTACCTTACAGATTCTAATTTTGAGAATATGAGTATTCAAATGATGGCATGTTATTGGAATCCTGACATATTTAAAAGTTATTCTTGAATGACAATAAATCTAGAAAATGGAATCGCCCTTACCAATCAACTAAGCGATGCACTTTTGAGAACCTTATAGAAATGGCGGAGGTCTTATATTTTAATTTTTCAATCAATAGATGAATTTGTGTTTGAGAAGATCATGTTAATGATCACTTTTAAGCAAATATCATGAATTTAAATATGCATGTGGAGGAACAGAGAAGGTGAAGGAGCTCACTTACAAATCCTTCAAGGTTAATTTGAAGCCATATAAATGGTGGGTTCCAATTTTGAGTCAACCATTATCTTAAGATTGAGTAGTTGTCACTCAACTACTGAGGAAATGTGAGACTTTGAAGGAAACTTGAGTAGTAGAGAAAATTCATACTTAACATAAAAAAGTAAGGTGTGGAGTCTAAAATTTTTTAATCATCTTGGATAATATTTAACTTTGATTTTTCAGATTGGTGGCCCCCAAACTCAAAGTTCATTCATACTTAATTTTTAAAATTGGTGGACAATAACTCTATTCATTCGCACTATTTTTTTGTAAAAATTATGGCTAATTCAAGATATATTCATAGTTCATCCAAAGAATTGATGAAAACTTGCTATTTTATTTGACATGTATGTTTAAATAGTTGTTGCATTGTTTTTCAAATAAGCCCAATAAAACTGTCTAATTATACAAGCGAATAAAACCTTCTAATTACACATAACTCATAACACTTCCCCTTAAGATGGGTGAAAGATATTCACTAAGCCCATCTTGTCACATGATCTAGCTAACTCTATTGAACTAAGTCTTTTAGTGAGACAATCAACTACCTGCTCTTCGGTAGCTACATGAATTAGTTCTAGCAATCCGTTATTCAGCTTCTCCTTGATGAAGAATCTATCAATCTCCACATGTTTAGCTCTATCGTGTTGCACCGGGTTGTAAGAAATGTTGATTGTCGACTTGTTGTCACACCACAACTTCATTTGAGTTCCCTGGTCCGAGTTCCCTGGTCCACTTTGAGTTCAACCAACAAGCTTTCAGCCACATCATCTCAACAACTCCTAATGTCGTGGCCTTGTATTCTTCCTCTGTTGTTGATCTTGCTACAACCGACTGTTTTTTGCTCTTTCACGAGACCAAGTTGCCTCCTACAAATATGCAGTATTCTAATGTGGATTGTCTGTCATCAGCATAGCTTGCCAGTCAAAATCACATGCCCATTCATCTTAAATATCAACATTTTCCCTGGTGCACTTTGATTGCTGACATTTTAACACTGCATATTCTGTTCCCTCCGGTTTGCATCTTCCTTCGTGTATACACCCTTAGCTCACCTTTAGGCTGAATCCCACCACCTATGGGTTCGCTCTCCTTGATTTCCATCTCCTTAGTTGATTCATCCTACATCATAGGACATGACTTTGCTCCCACTCGCACCACTCCATCACCACTACTACTCACTCTCTATTGCCTCATATCTCCAGTGTTTATTGTGTCACCGAAGGGTGAATTCACCTCCAGAGTGTAGTATGATTTAAACTGTCTGAATGACACATCTATACTTGCAAAAAATATTGGTGAAGGTCAAAATGCTACCACTTCAACATTATTTGACTCCTCTCAGAGGCCACCTAGAGTTAGAGGCCCAATGAATTCTTTCACCACAATACAAATAAGGAATTCTACTCTAAATTCCAAGTGGAAAAAAGATGAAAGAAAGTAGGCATGTAGGAAATTAGTAGATTCTGTTACTCAGTCGGATTGGCGTTTAATGTTGCCAAATGTCTATGTTGGAAGCAGTTGCTAATTTTGGACTTGATTTTACTCCGCCTACAATGCTTGAATTGAAAATTTGGATACTCAAAGATGAGGATGCTATAATCAATAAAATGTTAAAGGGGCATAAGAAGACTTGGAGTAAATATGGGTGTCCGATTATGTCAGAAGTTTAGATAAATGGAAAAAGTAAAAAAAAAATTTTTTTTGGACAGTCCAGTTGGGACTTTTTTTATATATGTGGATGTTTCTAATGCTATAAAAAATGGTGAGTTAGTATTCACTTATTTGGATGACGTGATTGAGGAAGTGAAAGAAAAAAATGTGATGCAAATTATAACAGATAATAGGTCAAATTGTGTAAATGTGGGTAAAAAAGATAATGAAGAAAAGAACATAATTATTAGACACCTTGTGCATCAAATTGTATTGATCTAATGTTAGAAGATATTGGAAAGTTAAAAATTCACGAAAACACACTTACAAAAACAAAACAAGTTTTTAAATTTATTTAACTCATATGAGTACTTGGCTTGATGAGATCTTTTACAAAGGAAAGGGAACTCGTTCGTTCAACAATCACACGGATTGCTACCACATATTTGAAACTTCAAAGCATTTACAAGCAAAAACAACCACTTCAGGCATTATTCTCCTCAAAAGCTTGGTGTTCTAGTCAATGAACAAAGAAGACAAAAGGTAGAAAAGCTGGAGCTATTATTTTGCTTGATCCACATTTTTGGGGTCATCTTGCTTACTGTATCAATAGTATTGTGTTGCTTGTAAATGTTCTAATAAAGGTTGACTCAGAAGAAAGGCCAGCTCTGGGTTATATTTACGAGTTAATAGACTCAGCAGAAGAAAAAATTGCTTTTAATTGTGGCATAATGAAAAGAAATATGGACCTATTTGGAGGAAAATTTATGCAAGATACGAAGTTAGATTTTATAAACCACTACATGCGGCTGGTTATTATTTGAATCCTCAATTTCACATTGAGAATAATTTTTCTAATGATGATGAGGTAAAAGAAGGGTTAATTGTTTGTATGGAAGAATGTTGGATTATAAAGACTGTCTCAGAGCTGATATTCAATTAGACTTGTATGATAACTTAAGAGGAGATTTTGAGAGTAGAGTTGCTATGGACTCGAGAAAGTTAGGATCTCGTGCTGATTGGTTGATGAGATTTGGTGGAAAAATACCTGAGTTAACAAATTTTACTATTCGTGTTCTTAGTCTCACATATAGTTCATCAGGTTGTGAAAGCAATTAGAGCACTTATGAATCAGTAACAATTTTATTTATTTCTTAAATTTATTATTAATTTCTTTTATAATCACCTCTTAAAAATAATTTTTTTTATCTTAGATTCATTCTAAGAAGAGGAACAGATTAGAGCACAAGTGGTTGTATGCTTAGGTATAAGTAAGATATAATTCTAGATTGAGGGATGAAGAGAAGTATAAGAAGAAAACAAGACTTCGATCCAATAAATGACAAACTTTGATGATAAGTGAATTATTGAGAAAGAAGGTTCTGTGCTTCCACATGAACATTCTTGGATGAATGAAGATGAACAAATATTGATATTGATGTAATCAGAAATGTGCCCATGACAAATATAAACGAAGAACCACAAAATATTAGACAAGAAAGGGAGGATATTTTTATAACATATTCTCATAGGAAAAGGAAGATGAATGAAAGAACAAACAAGTTTCATATTTACATTTAATTATTCTTTACATAATTATGCATTCTTAATTTCTTATAGAAAAAAGATCCTAAATATTTACGAATGTCATTTTATTTGTGTATATAATTTAAGCAATAATGATAAGGAGAAACAAATTATGAATGCACCTGAGATTTAGCATGATAATGACTTTAATGAAGTAGATAATGAATGCAGAGAATATAAAGGACCTAGTTGTGATTTGGATATAAATATTGGTAAAAAAGAAGATTTTGATGATTAATTTGAAGAATGATTCAATGATTGAGATCAATTGATCACAAATTTATTTTTTGGCTCAAACATTTATACTTATTTTTATATTTTACTACTTTTTGTGGTGGATTTTTGCTAATATCTTTAAGATTCTAATTGTTATTTTGACCCCCAATTAATGAACTAAAGTAAAAGGACACTTTTGTAATGTGGTACCGCTCACCTACCACATCTCACATACCGTTCACCTACCGTTCACCTACCGCTCACCTACCGCTCACCTACCTCCCACCTACCACTCTCTTGCTTCTATAAATAGAGAGGGTGTGAGACTTAGGAGAGCAAGGGAAGAAATCTTAAGGGTGTGAGGCTTAGAAGAGGGAAGGGAGAAGATATCTTAAGCTACCACAAAGGAGGAGAGAATAGCTATAGAGTTAGAGAGGAGGAGAGCATCTTGAGGCCTTGTATCAAGGTGTCGCTTGAGAGGGAGGCCATAGAAGGAAGATGAGGGCTCATCTCTATGTATAAGCTATGTATTCTCCATTTCTTTTGCCTTAGTGAAATATTTGATTGATTCCCTCCCGTGGACGTAGATCCAGTTGGATCGAACCACGTAAACGATCTGTGTTTGCTTGTGTTCTTTTTTCGTCTCATTTCTATGCCAGGAAGTACATATCTCACAACACTAATCCTTGAAGACTTGTTTTGAAATTAAATGATTATGAGTTATTTTAATACATAGAAATAAATTTTTTTTTATGATGCACAAAAAGTTTATTTTTTGTCTCTTAATATTTATATTCCTTATTTTTTTTAATACTATGGGGCTCATGCTCAATGCCTTGGGGCTTACGCCTCGCCCCATAATAGCTAATACACCCCGCCCAACACCCATGCCTTCTAAAACATTAGTAGAGACTTGGTTGCAATTAGGAGAAAAAAAAGGTTATCCTTCTGCAACATGCAAAAATTTCAAATGAATAGACATACCTTGCAACCTAATATTTAGAGAAAAAATCAAAAATCTCGAACATCTTAATAAAAGATTGTTTATTCCATGCTGGCCAATATAAGTTTTTTTAATATTTTTTCCCTTCTTTTTTTGTTCAGCTATTGATGTTTTAGCTTGTTATTTTTCTTCATATTTCTTCCTAAATATTCCAATAATTGTTTCCTTACAAAATTGCAGGAGCATTCTTCAACTGATGTCATAATGAATTCTTTTTATTATTCTTTTATGCAGTTCTGAATTGAATAGGTTGAACTTCCGGGGGTTTTATACAATGCTTTTGATGTGTGGAGATGAGCTAATCAGTGTGGCCACTTTCAGGTATAATTAGAAGATCTGCTAAGTAAGGCACCGTCCATTATAATTTTTTTCTTGACCTACTTCTGATTCTAAGATAATTTCTCATCTGTGTAGGATATTTGGTGAAAAGCTTGCTGAAATGCCATTTATTGGCACTCGTGTGAAATTCCGCCGACAAGGAATGTGTTGCATTTTGATGAATGAATTGCAGAAGGTAAAGTCATAATTACATTTTTTTATACTTTATTTATAATAACTTCTGTTCAAATAAGATAGCTAATCATGATTATTTTATATCTGTGTTGTCTAGATTTGTAGAACTTTATTTTAAACTAAAATTTACATTCCCCTCCATTTCCTTCAAATCAAACATACCCAGCGTGTTCAAACAGAAGGGACATTTACATATATGGCACAAAATTCTTATGCATTTATATATCTCACACCCAAATTTCCATATTTACACACATAGTACTCTTATCTTTAGTATCGCTTAAAAAATAGTACTATTATCATTTTTAAAAATAAAATACATTTTTTCGTGTATATGTTTAAAGCACCAAACCACTAAGAATGTAAATATGAAAGTTTAGGTGTGAGATATAAATACATAAAAAGTTATGTGCTACTTATGTAAATTTTCCTGAATAAAAATGCTTTCTGAGACAATAACAGAGCCAAAAGTTTCAGTTAAAGTGTAAACAATACAAAATCACCATTTTTCGCCTTCTATTTATCATTTTCATTAAAAGATAATATTCATTTTGATTAAAATTCCAGTTTTTGGCATCATAATTTAGCCATTATTTTCATTTCCTGTAACATGGTGCTATTTTCTCATTTATTTTTTTTCCTTTTTTTGTGTCATAGCTTCTTGCTTCATTAGGAGTGGAAAGGCTATTGTTACCTGCTGTTCCTGAACTCTTGAAAACATGGACTTCCTCTTTTGGTTTCACAAAAATTACACCTTCTGATAGATTAGAGTTATTAGAGCACAAACTACTTACATTTCAAGGAACTACCTTGTGCCAGAAGCTCTTGAAGAAACCTTCTGCTTAATTGGTATGTTCTTTCATTTATATTTATGATTATTTATTTTCATCTAGAAATTTTAATGCTTTATCTAGAGGTGTAACTTAGTCAAGCTGACTCATCAGTCAGCTCAATAAATGGCTTGTGAATTGAGCTTGGTGAGTTAAAAGTCGACTTCGACTCGTCAGCTCATGAGTCAATTCTTTTAAAAAAAATTTAATATAAACTGTATTTAAAGTATAATGAAAAGAAAGTTCTTAGTATGATTTAAAAACTTAAATTTTACTAACATCAAATGGTTTCTCATTGTTTTTTTCAAATTATTTGTCATTTTAATAGTATCAAAATCAGATTATGTCTTTTATAATAAATGAGCTGGCTCATGAGCCAATTTGAAATCATAGAATTGAGTTTAAGCTCAAGCTCGAACTAAATTAATTAAAAGTTCAAATTGGGTTGGCTCATTCTAGACTCGAGTTGCTTACACCCCCTAGCTTTTATACTACATTTCCTCCAATCTTATACATGTGTTTCCTTCTTATCATGTAGGAACTACAGTAATGAAGATTTTGGTTCCCTTTAGGATCCATAAAGTGGCAAGTTTTCTCTAGGAGATACTTCTGTAGAGACATATAGGTTTAGTTATATTTTCTTTTATTTCTTTTATTATTTTTATGGAAGAAAGTTGAGCTTGAGTTTTGTTTGATTGATTGATTGATTTATTTATTTTTAAATGAGCTAATTGTTTATTTATTTATTTTTTGTATGTATTTTTTTGTTTTATAAACTGGGAGTTTAAACCCAAAACTGGTGCTTTGAATATATATAAATGTTTGTTTCAGAGAGCAAAGATTGTTAATATAGTCATTTGATTTTCTTAAACAAAATTTTTCTTTTTAGGGAGGTGCATCAATTGCTTAGAATTATGCGACATTTGATTGGAGGGGCATCTACATACAAACCACCAAATTCTTATGCGTTAACATATCAACCACTCAAACTTCAATTTTTACGTACAGACCACCAGATCACCATGTTTTAGCATAGGTTGGATGATCTGTAGTTAAAGATTGAAGTTTAGGAGGTTAATATATTAATACATAAGAATTGGGTGGTAGATACATAACTCTCCCATGATTATTAATCGATTGTAAAAAATATATATAGAGAAAAATATTATACATATATATATATATACATATATATATATATGCGTCGCGTATTCAGATCAGTTGGTCAGACATCTGCTTGTCAGTTGTAAGTCCCTTCTGGTCTAGGGTTCGAATCCCTTCAAGTTTAGGGAGTGATACTCGAATTATGAGGCTCATTAGGGATGGCCGGGTCTAGCATAATAGTCTCAGGCCATTCCTTTTAAATATATATATATATATACAACTTAGATTGATGAAATATATTGATAAAGTAAATTACTTGCCTATTATATTTCCTTTTAATGTATATTCAAAATTTTGGGAAATGAAACTAAAAGATAAATTTAAAAAAAGTACAAAGGAATATTTTATGTGCTTCAGAGCGACCAAATAAATGAATATGCTATCCCTTAAATACAATAAGATTAGAACAAACTACAAAGTGTTAGAATGAAAAAAAAAACTTAAAATATTCTCAGTATAAATATTACATAAAATACAAAAATGCCATAAATTTTAGCATACATTGCTTCACGGTATTTTCTTATGACTTCACTTCATAGATCATTGTCATATTTTTATTATTTTTAAAAATTTTTGTGTTGGATAACTTTTCAAAACCAAATCTGCCAAACTGTTAAATTGTGATACTGCTAGAAAATTATTATCTTTTTTTTTTTTTTAATTTATAATACAACAACAGCTTTAAAAATTTTTAATTTTTCTGCAAGAGTTTTAAACCAATTTAATAACTTTATTTTTTGAACTTCATTATTACTCCAAAATGCTATATTTTATTTTTAAAATTTTTGTTTAACAAATTTGTCTGATACAGTGGTACAAGAATCTATCCTAGATTGTTTCTTTGTAATGGAACTTGCACAAATTACACCATTACAAACTTCAATATTATATGATGGGTGAATCAAGTAAATAAAGAAACAACATAACAGCATGTTGAAGGCTGATAAAACTTTTGAAAAAGTTTGGGTCAAAATGAATTTTGTAGTCATTGAATTTACTTTGAGATGAGTATAATATTGAAATTAAATAACTATTCATGTATTGGATCCCTCACAAAATAATTCTAATAACTTAAGCAGTCGTTGCTAATCTTTTCCAAAGTTTAAGTTCAAACATAACAAATAATAATTTAAAGAGGTGGTCCGAAAGTCAGACTTGTTAAGAAAGTTAATGCCATGATATCAAAAGTAATGGAGTTGGAAAAATCCCACTTTCTATAGTCATCATAAACCTCCAATCTAAAGCAAAATCAGCACCAAAAGGGCATTTTGAAAGCAAATTATGACTGATTTCTTTAACTTCACTCTCACTCAAAAACCAAAAAGAATAATTCTTCAAACAAAGCTCAAAATTCCCATTCTAGAAAAGAAGAAAAAGAAGGAAGACCACACAACTTGAAGCTCAATCCTTCTTCTTCCTCGCATCTCCATGAAGATTCCAGGAGCAAAACTTCCTTTTTCAATCATGGCTTGCATCATCTGCGCCTTGGCATTCACCGGTTTAATCTTCAACGAATATCTACGAAAAATCACTGGTACATTCTTCATCTTCTTCATCAAGCTCAAATTCTTCCCAAAATGCTAACTTTAAATCAACTAGAATTATGATTTTTTTATCAGAGGAGACGGAGAAACATAGCAGCAAAGCTAATGTTTTTGATGAAAAGATCTTTTTCGATCCAAACAAGTGCAGAATAGAGAGGGGAAAATGGGTCTTCAAAAGTTCAGCAGAGCTTTCTTATACTGATCTGAATTGCCCGTATGTGGATGTACAAGTAGCCTGTTTGAGAAATGGCCGGCCCGATCGAGATTATTTGTTCTGGGAATGGCAGCTTGATGACTGTATTTTACCAGAGTAAGTCTATTTGATCTCTATGTTGGTTTTGAAGTTTAATTTTTTACTTTTACACCTCCCAAGTCATTCACATCACATAAAAAATTCTGCTATTTTAACTCTTGAAAAGTGAACTACACCTTTTCATGCATAGGTAAGTGGGCTTGTATGTAAAAATTGATGCTTTGGTATTAAATATGTCAATACAAAAGAATTGATTGGTATGCATGTAAATCTTCCTACTTTGATGTAGAGCTCATTTCAGCCATTTGCTTGCAGGTTTAATGCAGTAATTTTTCTTCAGAAACTTAGAGGAAAAAGACTTATGTTTGTAGGAGATTCATTGCAGAGAGGGCAATGGCAATCTCTTGTATGTATGGTGCAGTCTTACATTCCATTAGAGAAGAAATCTATGAACAGAACCACAACCCTATCAGTATTCAGAGCTAAGGTAACACAGATAAACAATAGTTGCTGTAAATGATTTTTGGGAAATTTACATACATACCACACAATTCTTATGTATTTGCTTCAGCATTATACTTTTGAAAAGATAATGATAGTGGTACTTTTGATGTGATGTTAAAGAATTGAGTGGTATGCATGTAAACTTGAATGTTTAGATGTTCGATATGTGAATAAAGAAGAATTGTGTAGTATGTATGTAAATGCCCTATGATTATTTTGAAAATAAAGGTTGAATCTGGTGCTTGTTGTCAGGAGTACAATGCGACGATTGAGTTCTATTGGGCACCATTCCTGGTTCAGTCGAATTCGGATGCGAAAATCATCTCAGATATATCGAAAAGAATAGTGAGAGTGGACTCGATCTCCGAGCATGGTCGACATTGGATTGGAGTGGATATACTGGTCTTCAATACTTATGTGTGGTGGATGACTGGGTATAAGATCAAGTCCTTGTAAGCACTGATTCAAAATTTAGATCTTGATCAAATCCAATATATGCATATAAATTTTACTTTGTTTGCGAGCTAAGCAAATTTAGATAAAAATTCTCAAATGTTTATGACATTGCATACATAGATGCATGTAAATTTCTCTTTGATCTCAAGCTAACAATTTTGGAATACGATTGGGATCAGCTTGATCTTGTGCGATTAAGGCCGAACATCTTCTTTATGTGACAACTGAGTTGCATGTGTGAATTCCCTTAAGTAGATTGAAGTTGAAATCTTAAACATCAATGTGCCTTTTAGTGTAAGAGTGGAATTTCAATAGAAGGACCAAAGTTAATGTTGTGAGATATGTACTTCCTGGTATATAAATGAAACACAAAGAACAAAAGCAAACACAGATCGTTTACGTGGTTCGATCCAACTGGATTTACGTCCACGTGAGGGAATCAATCAAATAGTTCACTAAGGCAAAAGAAATGGAGAATACATAGCTTATACATAGAGATGAGCCATCATCTTCCTTCTATGGCCTCCCTCTCAAGCGACACCTTGATATAAGGCCTCAAGATGCTCTCCTCCTCTCTAGCTCTCTAGCTCTCTAGCTATTCTCTCCTCCTTCGTGGTAGCTTAAGA